AATAATAATAATAATAATAATAATAATAATAATAATAATAATATACACAGGGATGAAGGAAGTTCAATGCATACTTTCCCTGTTGTCCTTTTACATACAGATGAAGGCAATTTATTCAGGTGTGGAAACTCACCTGCTGTGATTGAAGGGCATCCTTAATTAGCTGGATGTCATATACAAGTCATGTCTTGCGTTGTCTTTGACGTGTTGGCTGCCGTGCTATGATCTTAATTGACTTTGCATTAACATAGCTACCCCGAGAGCCACTGGGTCCCACCCAGCAGAGTCTGGGTTTGTTTACACTGCAGTTCACCTCCACTGGAATCCTGGGAGTTGCAGTTTGGTGACCTTGTGAAACTACAACTGCCATCGCATTGAGACAGGAGGGCGGTTCTGGATCTGGTTGGACTCCCTTTCCATTTGGGTTGCTCCTATTACTACTACTACTATTATTACTAGTACTACTACTACTAGGCAGAAGGGGGTTGCACTGTGTGGCCCCTGGGGTTGCTCCTATAGTAGTTGTTGTTGTTGTTGTTGCAAAGGCTGGGTGGCTATTTGTTGGGGGTGCTTTGATTGTGCTTTTCCTGCAAATTGTAAACAATGCGGCAACACGTTTGCTCGTGCCTGTCCAATTCCATCTTTGGTGAAGTTCAGAGCACTCTTAGATTGCAGGTGAACTATAAATCCCAGTACCTACAACTCCAAAATGTGCCCAGGCCAATTCCCCTCAAATCCCACCAGTATTCAAACTTGGGCATATCGGGTATGCATGACAAGTTTGGTCCAGATCCATCGATGTTTGGGTTCACAGTGCTCTCTGGATGTAGGTGAACTACAACTCCCCCAAATCAAGGTGAATTTTCACCAAAGACCTCCAATATGTTTGGTTGTTCATGCGAAGTTCTGCGTGCCAAGTGAGTTCTAGGTCCATCATTGGTGGAGTTCAGAGTGCAGTTGTTAGATTGCAGGTGAACTATACATCCCGGTACCTACAACTCCTATAAATCAAGGTGAATTCTCCCCAAACCTCTCTAGTATGTTCAGTTGCTGATCAGTTCCTCCGTTTGCTATAGAAAAGAATAGGAAAGGGTTAAAGGAGAGGCAGTGGGTGGGGTCCTGCAAATTCCACACCAATGGAGAGAGTAAGGATCACTGGGATGTCTATGGTGGAGGAAACGCCTGAAAGCTAGGATGGAATTGTCCTCTGCTTGCCATGTGCCATAGAAAAATGTAGGAAAGGGTTAAGGGAGAGTCAGTCGATGGTGTCATGCCAATTACATACCAATGGAGAGAGTCAGAAACACTGGGATGTCTGTGATGGGGGGAATACATAAAATCTAGGATGGAATTGTCCTCTGCTTGCTGTGTGCCATAGAAAAGAGTAGGAAAGGGTTAAGGAAGAGGCAGCGGATGGGGTCATGCAGATTCTACACCAATGGAGAGAGAAAGGAATACTGGGATGCCTGTGGTGGAGGAAACCGTCACCATTAATACATTTCTTTGTGGATCTCCCATAGGCTCGGGACACGGAGACGGCGGAATTGGCGGCCATTAAAATTGTGAAAATCGACCCAGGTAAGGCTTCCTTTGACCTTGGGGTGCCTTCTACACAGTGTAGTTAATGCGGTTTGGAACCGCTTTTGTTGCCAATGTTACGCAATGAGACATATCCACACGGTTTCCTTCCTCCAGGGGATGACATTGGGTCCATCCAGCAAGAGATCACCACGCTCAGGGACTGTCGCCACCTCAATGTCGTGGCCTACTTCGGCAGCTACCTCAGGTGAGGGATTGGCGTCTATACTGTCGCATTAATTCCACACCAATGGARAGAGAAAGGAACCCTGGGATGCCAGTGGTGGAGGAAACATGCAAGGTCTTTCGCCTCCTCGRAAACACTGGGAGGTTAAGAGAGAGGCAGTGGGCGGGGTCCTGCACATTCCACACCAATGGAGAGAGAAAGGAACCCTGGGATGTCTGTTGCTGCTTAATTCCTCTGTTTGCTGTGTGCTATAGAAAAGAATAGGACAGGCTTAAGGGAGAGGCAGTGGGCAGGGTCATGCACCTCTTGGAAACACTCCTCGGAAAAACAGTGGGCGGGGGTCCTGCACATTCCACACCAATGGAGAGAGAAAGGAACCCTGGGATGTCTGTTGCTGATTAATTCCTCTGTTTGCTGTGTGGCATAGAAAAGAATCGGAAAGGGTTAAGGGAGAGGCAGAGGGTAGGACCATGCACATTCCACACCAATGGAGAGAGAAAGGAAMCCTGGGATRTCTGTTGCTGCTTAATTCCTCTGTTTACTGTGTGGCATAGAAAAGAATCGGAAAGGGTTAAGGRAGAGGCGGTGGGYRGGGTCCTGCACATTCCACACCAATGGAGAGAGAAAGGAACACTGGGATGTCTGTTGCTGCTTAATTYCTCTGTTTGCTGTGTGGCATAGAAAAGAATCGGAAAGGGTTAATGGAGAGGCGGTGGGTAKGATCCTGCACATTCCACACCAATGGAGAGAGAAAGGAACACTGGGATGCCAGTGGTGGAGGAAACATGCAAGKTCTTTAGCCTCCTCGGAAACACTGGGAGGTTAAGGGAAGAGGCAGTGGGCAGGGTCCTGCACATTCCACACCAATGGAGAGACAAAGGAACCCTGGGATGTCTGTTGCTGATTAATTCCTCTGTTTGCTGTGTGGCATAGAAAAGAATAGGAAAAGGTTAAGGGAGAGGCGGTGGGTAGGATCCTGCACATTCCACACCAATGGAGAGAGAAAGGMATCCTGGGATGTCTGTTGCTGCTTAATTCCTCTGTTTGCTGTGTGCCATAGAAAAGAATAGRACAGGCTTAAGGGAGAGGCAGTGGGCGGGGTCCTGCACATTCCACACCAATGGAGAGAGAAAGGAACACTGGGATGTCTGTTGCTGATTAATTCCTCTGTTTGCTGTGTGGCATAGAAAAGAATCGGAAAGGGTGAAGGGAGAGGCGGTGGGTAGGATCATGCACATCCCACACCAATGGAGAGAGAAAGGAATACTGGGATGCCTTTGGTGGAGGAAACACATACAATCTAGGGTGAAATTGTCCCCGTATGAAAGCTTTCACTTGGATGGTGTGCAGTGTGGTGTTTGTGGAGTACATTGACAGGGCTTTTGGACATGCTTACACTGGGATGTCTGTGGTGGAGGAAACACATGCAATCTAGGATGAAGTTGTCCCCGAATGAAAACCTTGCCTTGGGTGGTGGGCAGGGTGGCGTGGGTGAAGGACATTGGCAAGGCTCTTGGACATGTTTACTGTGCTCGCTATAACCTGCAATGTCATTGGTGGGAGGGCCATTGGTGTCTCCTGAGTAGTGGAAGTGCAAGCCTGTCTGCGTAAGTGGACACCTCACACACACACACACACACACACACACATCTTCAGTTTTATTATTTGTATAGATAACAATTAATATAATAATAATAATTTATTAAATAAATAAATTTAAATTAATAAATTTATCAATACATTTAACTAATTAAATTATAAATCTATAAATTTATTAATAAATTTATTAATATAATAACTTTAAATTAATACATTTAAATCAATAAATTTATTATAAATTAATAATAATTAATAATAAATTATAATAAATTTAAATTAATACATTTAAATCAATAAATTTATTAATACATTTAATTAATTAAATTATAAATCTATAAATTTATTATAAATTAATAATAAAATATAATAAATTTAAATTAACAAATTTATTATTATTATTATTGAATTAATAATAATTAATAATAAATGTAATTAATAAATTAATTTTTATTATTATTTTATTTATTTATTATTGTTATTATTATTGATTTTGGTGGTGTCTTCCTGGCACGAAGTGGGTTGGTCTGGGTGGCCTATGATCCTTGTTGTTTTTCTTTTTTCAGGAACGACCGGCTATGGATTTGCATGGAATATTGTGGAGGGGGTTCACTACAGGAAATCTACCATTGTAAGTTTGGGGGTGTCATATCCTAAACCCTAAACATGTATACACTATAGAATTAATGCAGTTTGACACCACTTTAGCCTCAGTGGCTCAATGCTATGTAATCCAGGGAGATCTCAGAAAATGGGACTATATTATTGTGTTGTTGTTGTTGTTTATTTTTTCATTTGTGACCTCATGGGCCGGCCCTAAAACGTCATCCTTAATCCTATTATCTTTCAGCAACCGGACCCCTCTCCGAGAAACAGATCGCATACGTCTGCAGGGAGACTTTACAGGTGAGTTTATGCATTAGGGATGTGCACAACTTCGGAGATTTGCTTCGTAATTAGGAGAGTCGTAATATGATTCGTTAATGCAAATCTCCAAATTACTAATTGGAACAGGATCACCACCCTTTCCTCCGAAGCATTACAAAACGAAACGGAAGCCTCCAAAACATTTTTGGAGAGATTAAGAACGCTTTGTTGTTTCGGAAAGTTTCATAAACAATTTTCAATAAATTCCTAAAAATCAGTGGGTAACCGAAACGTTCTGAAACTTGGCAGACTTGAAGTTGTCAAAGTTGCCTACAAGTGTGCCAAGTTTCACCCTGATAGATGTAAAAATGACAGAGAAACACTAATGGAAAAAATCTGAATGAAACGTTTATGAAAATTCGGAAACTCGGATTACGAAAAAAGAAAGAAAACACAACAGGGCCCTTTAGAATCTTTAAAAAATTCCTAAAACTCAGTGGATGGCTGAAACGTTCTGAAACTTGGCAGACTTAAAGTCGTCAAAGTTACCTCCAAGTGTGCCAAGTTTCATCCTGATAACCATAAAGATGACAGAGAAACACTAATGAAACATATCTGAACGAAATGTTTACGAAGCTTCAGAGGTTGGAATTACGATAAAAACATTACCCCCTCCAAATTTTTAAAAATTTCCTAAAAATCAGTGGATGACTGAAACGATCTGAAACTTGGCAGACTTCAAGTTGTCAAAGTTGCCTACAAGTGTGCCAAGTTTCATCCTGATAGCTGTAAAAATGACAGAGAAACACTAATGGAAGAAATCTGAATGAAACGTTTACGAAAATTCGGAAATTGGGATTACGAAAAAAGAAAGAAAACAAAACATGGCACCTCAGAATTTTTTTTTAATTCCTAAAAATCAGTGGATGGCTGAAACGTTCTGAAACTTGGCAGATTTAAAGTAGTCAAAGTTACCTACAAGTGTGCCATGTTTCATCCTGATAGCCGTAAAGATGACAGAGAAACACTAATGAAACATATCTGAACAAAATGTTTACGAAGCTTCAGAGGTTGGAATTACGAAAAAACATTACCCCCTCCAAATCCTTAAAAATTTCCTAAAAATCAGTGGATGACTGAAACGATCTGAAACTTGGCAGACTTAAAGTCGTCAGAGTTGCCTACAAGTGTGCCAAGTTTCATCCTGATAGATGTAAAAAATGACAGAGAAACACTAATGGAAGAAATTTGAATGAAACGTTTATGAAAATTCGGAAATTGGGATTATGAAAAAAGAAAGAAAACACAACAGGGCCCTTTAGAATCTTTAAAAAAATCCTAAAAATCAGTGGATGACTGAAATGTTCTGAAACTTGGCAGACTTCAAGTCGTCAAAGTTACCTACAAGTGTGCCAAGTTTCATCCTGATAGCCATAAAGATGACAGAGAAACACTAATGGAATATATCTGATCGAAATGTTTACGAAGCTTCAGAGGTTGGAATTATGAAACAAAACATTACCCCTTCCAAATCTTTAAAAAATTCCTAAAAATCAGTGGGTGACTGAAACAATCTGAAACTTGGCAGACTTAAAGTCGTCAGAGTTGCCTACAAGTGTGCCAAGTTTCATCCTGATAGATGTAAAAATGACAGAGAAACACTAATGGAAGAAATCTGAATGAAACGTTTACGAAAATTCAGAAATTGGGATTGTGAAAAAAGAAAGAAAACAAAACAGGGTCCTCAGAATATTTTTAAAATTCCTAAAAATCAGTGGATGGCTGAAATGTTCTGAAACTTGGCAGACTTAAAGTAGTCAAAGTTGCCTACAAGTGCGCCATGTTTCATCCTGATAGCCATAAAAATGACAGAGAAACACTAATGGAATATATCTGAATGAAATGTTTACGAAGCTTCAGAGGTTGGAGTTACGAAACAAAACATTACCCCCCTCCAAATCTTAAAAAATTTCCTAAAAATCAGTGGGTGACTGAAACAATCTGAAACTTGGCAGACTTAAAGTCGTCAGAGTTGCCTACAAGTGTGTCAAGTTTCATCCTGATAGATGTAAAAATGGCAGAGAAACACTAATGGAAGAAATCTGAATGAAACGTTTACGAAAATTCAGAAATTGGGATTGCGAAAAAAGAAAGAAAACAAAACAGGGTCCTCAGAATTTTTTAAAAATTCCTAAAAATCAGTGGATGGCTGAAATGTTCTGAAACTTGGCAGACTTAATGTAGTCAAAGTTGCCTATAAGTGTGCCATGTTTCATCCTGATAGATGTAAAAATGACAGAGAAACACTAATAGAAGAAATCTGAATGAAACGTTTACGAAAATTCAGGAATTGGGATTGCGAAAAAGGAAAGAAAACAAAACAGAGTCCTCAGAATATTTAAAAAATGTCTAAAAATCAGTGGATGGCTGAAATGTTCTGAAACTCGGCAGACTTAAAGTTGTCAAAGTTGCCTAGAAGTGTGCTAAGTTTCATCCTGATAGATGTTAAAATGACAGAGAAACACTAATGGAAGAAATCTGAATGAAACGTTTATGAAAATTCAGAGGTTGGAATTATGAAACAAAATATTACTCCCTCCAAATCTTTAAAAAATTCCTAAAAATCAGTGGATAACTGAAACATTCTGAAACTTGGCAGACTTAAAGTAGTCAAAGTTGCATACAAGTGTGTCAAGTTTCATCCTGATAGCCATAAAGATGACAGAGAAACCTAATGGAACATATCTGAATGAAATTTTTACGAAGCTTCAGAGGTTGGAATTACGAAACAAAATATTACCCCCTCCAAATCTTTAAAGAATTCCTAAAAGTCAGTGGATAACCGAAACATTGTGAAACTTGGCAGATTTATAATTGTCAAAGTTGCCCACGAATGTGCCAAATTTCATCATGATAGCCATAAAAATGACTGATAAACAAACTGTAAAATGCCTCCCTTGCCATTAATTGAAAGAATCAGAACGATAAGAAACTTCGGAAATTGGGATTACAAAACAAAACAGGACCCCTCCGAATTTTTAAAAAATTCCTAAAAATCAGTGGATGACCAAAAAATTCTGAAACTTGGCAGATTTAAAGTTGTCAAAGTTGCCTACAAGTGTACCAAATTTCATCCTGGTAGCCATAAAATTGAAAGAGTAATAAAGCCTTGAATTTTCCCCCCTTGTCACTAATCGAACAAATCTGGATGAAACGTTCACAAAACTTCTGAAATTGGGATTACGAAGCAAAACGAAACAGGACTGCTCCAAATCTTTAAAAAATTCCTAAAAATCAGTGGATGACTGAAATATTTTGGAAATTCGCCAAAAATCCATGGAGAAGTCAAAGGTCGTGAAATTTGGCGAGCCAACAGTGGTCCATATGTTCTACCACTGCAGCAAGTGACTATCAGTTAAAGCTTGTGCGCCAGCTGCGCCCGTACCTTGGGAAGTCTGACTTGGCCACGGTACTCCACGCTCTGGTTACATCCCGCCTAGACTACTGCACCGCTCTCTACGTGGGGTTGCCCTTGAAGACGGCGCGGAAGCTCAACTTCAGCAAGCGGCAGCCAGATTGCTCACCGGAGCACATACAGGGAGCACACCACCCCCCTGCTGTGCAGCTCCACTGGCTGCCGGTTCAGTTTCCGAGCACAATTCAAGGTGCTGGTGATGACAAAACCCTTTATGGTTCCGGTCCAGCGTATCTGTCCGAACGCATCTCCCGCTACGTCCCGCCTCGGAGCTTGAGATCATCTGGGGAGGTCCTGCTCTCGACCCCACCACTCTCACAAGTGAGGCTGGTGGCGACGAGGAGCAGGGCTTTCTCAGTGGTGGCCCCTCACCTGTGGAACTCACTCCCGGGGGAAATCAGGCATCACCATCCCTCCTCGCCTTCAGGAGGAGGGTGAAGACGTGGTTATGGGACCAGGCCTTTGGGCAACCGGGCAATTAAATAAGACAATCAGGCGAGTAAGACCAACAGGATTGACGAAGTGGAAGTGAAAATTAGAACTATGAGTTAGCGAATGCTGACCATGTAGGAGGAGGAATTGGGTTTGTATTAGTTTTATTGATTTTATGGTTATAATGCATGAATTGTTGTTAACTGTGAATTGATGTAATTTTGTGTATGATTGTTTTGCGATGCAGGCATCAAATTGTGCCTTTGCTTTTGTAAGCCGCCCTGAGTCCCCTTCGGGGTGAGAAGGGCGGGGTAAAAGAACCCCGAAATAAATAAAATAAATAAATAAATAAAAAATACCGGTGCATTTACGAAGTGATTCGGAAGTTTCGGAAGTTTCTAATTTCTTAAAAAAATAATCGGACGTGACTTTAGAATCGAACCACTAGCTCCCTTTACATCCAAAATGAGTCGTGAACTAGTAGCTGGAAAGATAGAAAAGTTTCATCGGGATTGCTCTAAAAATGAGGGAGAATCTCCTGAAGTTTCCCCAATGGCGGTGCATTGACGAAGTGATTCGGACGTTTCGAAAGTTTTGGAAGTTTCGATTTAAAAAAAAATCGGAAGTGACTTTAGAATTGAACCACCAGCTCAATTTACATCCAAAACAAGTCATGAACTAGTAGCTGGAAAGAAAGAAAAGTTAGAGCAACGGAGGCATCACTTTTTGACCGACCCTCGTGTTTCCCGTTTGTCCCAATAATGGACTTTACCAAGTTTGACCTTTGAGAGGAAATTCCATTTTTCCGCCTCTTGTTCTCTCCTTTTCCTGTCTTTCCGTCGGGAAAAAAACAGCTTTAGCAAGAGCAATGACACCACTTTTTCTCCCTTCTACAGATACACTCTGTGCTCGGATATTATTACGAACAGATACTCTCTAGCTTTGGATGTTTACTAGGCTTGGGCGATCCAGTTCGTTAATTTGGTAATTCGTTATTAATTCGTATTTAAATTAGCTTACGATCCAATATCGAACCATGCAGGAATAGTGTGAGGAGTAATTAAGAATCGAAACAATTTTTCCAATTTTCGTAATTATTTCGTAATTATTTCGTAATTATTTTCGTATGTCTGGTGCAAGTTTTACAATCTCGCATTTACCCCACTTCCGGTCCCTTTGCTCTGCTGCTTCCCTCCTCTTTCCTCACATGCTTCTTCTTGCCTCACTCTAATATACAATACTATAATATAATATATAATATAATAATATTATAATAATATAATATATATATTATATTATATTATATTATATTATAATACTATTATATTATAGTATTGTATATATTATATTATATTATTATATATTTTATTACTATATTATTATATTATATTATATATATGTATATAATATATAATAATATAATATAATATAAATATATAATATTATAATATTATAATATAAATAATAATAATATAATATATTATAATATAATTACATAATATAATATAATATAATATTATAATAATAATATACAATATTATATATATTGTATATATTAATTATATAATATTATTATATATTTATTATATTATATATTATATTATATATAAATATATAATAATATATATATAATATATAATATATATAATAATATTATAATAATATAATAATATAATATAATATAATATAATATAATATATATAATATTATAATATTATAATAATAATATAATATACAACAATATAATATAATAATATTATAATAATAATACCATCGCCCCCTACAAACGAAACGAGTTTAGAACCAAATTTTTCCGTTGTTACCCAAGCCTAATGTTTACAAGGCAGTTCCTTAACCAGGTTGGATTCTGATCCTGTCCAGGGATGCATTTCGTTTTGGCTCAGCCTCCAGCCATTTGAAGCAGACGCCTCCTGATTCAGCGCTCCTTGGGCATAACTATAGGGCTCTCACTTCAAAGGCTTTCTTTGAAGACTTCGTTGGCATCTATATTCCAAGGCGCAGCTATTAAATCACACCTAACGCTGCTTTAATGTGATTCGTGTCTGCTCCTCCAACATCTTAATTATAAAGTACTTTCAGTTGACTTCTTTTATCCAAAAGTCACACTCGTTTTGCAAAGATTTAGAGGGGGTCCCGTTTTGTTTCGTAATCCGAATCTCCAAAGCTTCGTAATGTTTTCGTTCAGATTTGTTCCATTGGTGTTGATGGGGGAACATTTTGAGGCTCGTTTCTCTGTCGTTTTTATGGCTATCAGGATGAAACCTGGCACACATGTAGACAACATGGACGACTTTAAACCTTCCAAGTTTCAAAACATTTCCATCATCTGCTGATTTTTAATGAATTTACAATTTTTTTTAATGATTTTTTTAATAAATAATTTTAACTGAAATTTCGAGGCTTGTTTCGCCATCATTTTTACGGCTACCAGGATGAAACATGGCAAACTCGTAGACAATATTCACAACTTTAAGTCTGCCAAGTTTCAGAACGTTTCTGTCATCTGCTGATTTTTAAAGATTTTAAAAAATATCTTTACAAATATTTTTTAAATGAAAAAAAGTTTTTATAAATAATTTTAACTGAAATTTCGAGATTTGTTTCACCATCATTTTTACGGCTACCAGGATGAAACGTGGCAACCCGTAAACAACATTCACAACTTTAAGCCTGCCAAGTTTCAAAACATTTCCATCATCTGCTGATTTTTAAAGATTTAAAAAAATGTTTTTACAAATATTTTTTAAATGAAAAAAGTTTTTATAAATAATTTTAACTGAATTTTTGAGGGTTGTTTCTCTGCCATTTTTATGGATACCAGGATGAAACTTGGCACACTTTCATATAACATGGGTGACTTTAAGCCTGCAAAGTTTCAGAATGTTTCCATCATCTGCTGATTTTTAAAGATGTTTTTAAATGATTTTACAATTTTTTAATGAAAAAAAATTTAATAAATAATTTTAACTGAAATTTCGAGGCTTGTTTCATCATCATTTTTATGGTTACCAGGATGAAAATTGGCACACATATAGACAACATTCACAACTTTAAGCCTGCCAAGTTTCAGAACGGTTTAATCATCTGCTGATTTTTAAAGATTTTTTAAAATTATTTTACAAATATTTTAAATGAAAAAAATTATAAATAATTTTAATTGAGATTTTAACTGAAATTTCAGGGCCATAATTTTTATGGCTACCAGGATGAAACGTGGCACACTCATAGACAACATTCACAACTTTAAGCCTGCCAAGTTTCAGAATGTTTCCGTCATCTGCTGATTTTTAAGATTTTTTTTAAAATGGTTTTACAAATATGTTTCAATGGCATTTTGAGACTCGTTTCTCCATCATTTTAATGGCTACCAGGATGAAACTTGGCACACTCATAGTCAACATTCACAACTTTAAGCCTGCCAAGTTTCAGAATGTTTCCATCATCTGCTGATTTTTAGGAATTTTTTAAAAAGATTTTACAAATATGTTTCAATGACATTTTGAGACTTGTTTCTCCATCACTTTAATGGCTACCAGGATGAAACTTGGCACACTTGTAGGCACCATAGACAACTTTAAGTCTGTCAAGTTTCAGATTGTTTCAACCCTCCACTGATGTTTTAGGAAATTTGTAAAAAGTTTTTACAAATAATTTTAAAACCAAAACTATAAAAGGCTTCCCCTTGAAATTCTGCACAATGTGACAACACAAGCAGGGCGTCGATCCTGCAAAGTTTCAGAAAGATTCGTCCATCTACTGATTTTTAGGAATTTTTCAAAGTTGTTTTCTCTTCTTTATTTTCCAGGGCCTGCACCACTTGCACACCAAAGGGAAAATGCACAGGGATGTTAAGGTGGGTGCGGAATATGGGAATGTGACTCCCGTTCTTAGCAAACAGAGAAGGCAGGAAGGGAGGCCGCTGGAAAGGAAAACAAGAACGAGACCGAGAGGCCTCCTCTTTTGCAAAAATAGCTGTTTCAACTTCCTCTTCTGATGGCCTCTGACTCTGTTTTCCCCTCTTTACAGGGAGCCAATATCTTACTCACGACCAACGGTGATGTGAAGCTCGGTCAGTTCCTCCTCTCGGCTTCCTTTCTCTCGCAAACCTTTTCCTCCCCGTCGAAATTCCCAACGTTATGAAAGGGGTTGTGTAGTCCTATGCAGACAATGCAGAGGGTTGGACTGGATGATCTTTAGGAGCCCCTTTCAAATTTATGATTGCATTTTTTTTTCCGAATTGTGTCTTCCCCGCAGCGGATTTTGGCGTTTCTGCGGAACTGACGGCATCAGTCGCCAAGCGGAAATCCTTCATTGGAACCCCTTATTGGTAAATACGTAAAGTTGCATTGCCGTCCTACAAGACCTACGCACACACAGACCTATCAGCTACGCTTTACTATTTATTACATATTTTATTTATTTTATTTTATTATTTATTTTAATTTCATTGCTTATTTGATTATTTATTTTATGTTATTATTTATGTCATTATTTATTTTATTTTATTATTTCTTTTGTGATATTTTTATTTTATTTTATTATTTATGTTATTATTTATTTTTATTTTATTACCTATTTTATTATTTATTTTATAATTTTTATTTTATAATTTTTTGTTATATTTTTATTTTATGTTATTATTTAAGTTATTTTTTATTTTTATTTTATTACCTATTTTATTATTTATTTTATGATAATTTTATTATTTCTTTTATGTTATTTTTTATTTTATGTTATTATTTATTATTTATTTTTATTTTATTACTTATTTTATTATTTATTTTATGTTGATTTTTATTTTATTTTATTATTTCTTTTATGTTATTTTTATTTTGTTATTTATGACATTATTTATTTCATTTTATTATTATTTTTATTATATTTTTATTTTATGTTATTATTAGTTTTATTTTATTACTTATTTTATTATTTATTTTATGATAATTTTTATTTTATTTTATTATTTCTTTTATGTTATTTTTTATTTTATTTTATTATTTCTTTTATGTTATTTTTTATTTTATTTTATTATTTATTTTATGTTATTTTTTAATTTAATGTTATTATTTATGTTATTATTTCTTTTATGTTATTATTTATTTGAGGAACACTGGGATGTCTGTGATGGAAGAAATTTATTATTATTATTATTATTATTATTATCATTACAGAAATGAAAAGAATAGGAAAAGGTTAAGGGAGAGGCAGTGGGCAGGGTCCTGCGAATTCCACACCAAGGGAGAGAGTAAGGAACACTGGGATGTCTGTGGTGGAGGAAATTTATTATTATTATTCTTACAGAAATGAAAAGAATAGGAAAAGGTGAAGGGAGAGGCAGTGGGCAAGGTCCTGCAAATTCCACACCAAGGGAGAGAGTAAGGAACACTGGGATGCCTGCTATGTGTATAGATTATTTTATTAATATTTTATTAGTATTTTATTTTAATTTTTGTTCGATCAGGATGGCTCCAGAGGTGGCGGCGGTGGAGAAGAAGGGCGGCTACAACCACCTCTGTGACATCTGGGCCTTGGGCATCACGGCCATCGAACTGGCAGAGCTGCAGCCACCTCTCTTTGACCTTCATCCCATGAGGTACTACTACTATTATTATTATTATTATTATTATTATTATTATTATTATGTAAATAGAGATTGTCCCATATGGTTCAATGTCTAGATGTCATCGGGGCTTGTGAAAATAGTAGAACAAGCCAGTCAAGGTGGTCCCAGTGGTGATGGGCACACTGGGTGCAGTGCCTCAAGACCTTGGCCTGCACTTAAACACAATCAGCGCTGACAAAATTACCATCTGTCAGCTAATAATAACAACAACAACAACAACAACAACAATAATAAAGCATTTGACTCACTGCCACCTTGTTGGATTATCAAATGTCTAGATGTCATCGGGGTTGGTGAAAATATTAGAACAAGCCAGTCAAGGTGGTCCCAGTGGTGATTGTGGATTATCAAATGTCTAGACGTCATCGGGGTTTGTGAAAATATTAGAAAAAGCCAGTCAAGGTGGTCCCAGTGGTGATCGGCACACTGGGTGCAGTGCCTAAAGACCTTGGCCTGCACTTAAACACAATCGGCGCTGACAAAATTACCATCTGTCAGCTAATAATAATAATAATAATAATAATAATAATAATAAAGCATTTGACTCACTGCCACCTTGTTGGATTATCAAATGTCTAGATGTCACCGGGGTTGGTGAAAATATTAGAACAAGCCAATCAAGGTGGTCCCAATGGTGATTGTGGATTATCAAATGTCTAGATGTCATCGGGGTTTGTGAAAATATTAGAACAAGCCAGTCAAAGTGGACCCAAGGGTGATCGGCACACTGGGTGCAGCGCCTCAAGACCTTGGCCTGCACTTAAACACAATCGCCAATACATCACAGTCCTAGACACTTGGGAAGTGTCCAGTACAACAGCCAGCAGAGTGATCTTGTCTACTGTCGATACACCTTGTTGTGTTGCAAAATATTATTATTATTATTATTATTATTATTATTATTATTTCATTTTCCCCCCATCCAGGGCTTTGATGCTGATGTCCAAAAGCAGCTTCCAGCCCCCGAAACTAAAAGACAAGGCGTGCTGGTCTGCCGATTTCCACCATTTCCTCAAACTCGCCTTGACCAAGAACCCTAAGAAGCGCCCGGTCGCGGAAAAGCTCCTCCAGGTAAATTCAAGGATGAGTTGGACGTCATTCCCAATGGCATCCTAGGGTTGGAAGGGACCCAAAGGCTCACGTTCGGGATCTCCTCTTCGGTCTTTCAGCACCCTTTCGTTTGCCAACCTTTGGCCCGAACGCTCGCCATTGAACTGCTGGACAAAGCCACGAATCCTGACCTCGCGGCCGCCGCGTCTGCCTTGGACGACGGGGATTTTGAGGTAGAGATCCAAACTTACATGGTTGAGTTGGTGGGATCCCAAAACAACGTTCCTGCACTTCCCATAGGATAGAACCAATTAGGAAACCACATTTATAGCCCAGGAACAAACATTGTGTTACATAGGGTTTTGTTTAGTACTGGCCCACCAGTGATGAGAGACCAGTGGTCACTGGTGGCTTCCATGGCAGTGAATCCACACTGGGCTTTAATCCAGATTTTGGAAAATTGCTGAATGTTAGCAATGGGGCATCGGGCATGCATCTCGGCCCTTGATCATGACTGTTGTTGTTGTTGTTGTAGCAACAAGTTGCCCTTGATAGTTTTGCTATTATTATTATTATTATTATTATTATTATTATTATTATTATTTCAATAAGTTGCCATTGATGGTCTTTGCCATTATTGTTTTAAATTATTATTATTATTATTATTATTATTATTATTATTTCAACAAGTTGCCATTCATCTTCTTTGCTATTATTATTATTATTATTATTTCAATAAGTTGACCTTGATGGTTTTGCTATTATTATTATTATTATTATTATTATTTCAATAAGTTGCCATTGATGGTCTTTGCCATTATTGTTTTAAATTATTATTATTATTATTATTATTACAAGTTGCCATTGATGCTCTTTGCTATTATTGTGTTATATTATTGTTATTATTATTATTATTATTATTATTATTATTATTATTATTATTTCAACAAGTTGTCATTGATGTTCTTTGCTATTATTTTTATTATTATTATTTCAACAAGTTGCAATTGATGTTCTTTGCTATTATTATTATTATTATTATTATTATTTATTTTATATTATATTATTATTTCAACAAGTTGCCATTAATGTTCTTTGCTATTATTATTATTATTATTATTATTATTATTATATATTATTATTATTATTATTATTATTATTATTATTATTATTCAACAAGTTGCCCTTGATGCGGTGTGTGTGTGTTGTGTGTGTGTATATATATATATGTGTATGTGTGTGTGAGTGTGTGTATAATTATTTCAAAAGTGGCCATTGATGTTCTTTGCTATTATTATTCTGTTATTATTATTTTATATTATTATTATTTTATATTATTACTATCATCATTCAATAAGTTGTCCTTGATGGTGTGTGGGAAGGAGCTCGGGCCCCAAATTCGGTAAGGGAGGTCTCAGGAGAGAGAAGTTACGATTTATTATTTATTATCCTTAATGGTGCCACCAATTTGGTGATGTGAGGTAATTTTGGGAGATTGGGCACACTAAACGCAGAATTAATGGAGATGAGGCAGTTTTAAAATCAAAGAGAACAAGTTTATTTTGAAACAAAGCGTATGGTTGCAGTTTGGTGATAAACTTGGAAAATACTTGGAGAACATTACATATAACTTGGTTGCGATACAGTTCACTTCTGGATGATACAACTTGTAATTGACTTTTACTGTGGTGAAGCACTTTCATACACAATGGTTCCTGAGGTGAATAGCCTTCTTATTTGATCCTTTCTTGATCAAACCTCAGATCTCTAGTTCACTTTTAACTAGTGATCTAAACGAGCTTCTATTAGTCTTCTCTAACTAATAAAACTAATAAGGTTTCCCCTTCAGCCTTCCCGAACTGAAGAAACCTCCGACTATTCACAAACACTGCTTCTCTACTTCCCACTCTCTCTCTCTCTCAACTCTTCACTTCCCTGAGCCTAAACCTAACTCTTCATTCCTCTGAGCCTCAACCCTGACTCTTCATGACTGTGCACTCTTCTGAGCCTAAACCCTAACTCTTCATGACTCTTCACTCCTCTGAGCATAAAACCTAACTAACTTTTAACTGTCGCTTTTCAAAACTCCCCTCTCTAAGCTCCTCCCACTTCTCTACAGCATTGTTTCCATGGTAACACACTCCTCACAGCTAGGCCGCTCCAGCATTAGGGCAACCAGTGTAAACACAAATACAGTTATAATAATATCATTTACAATCAATACAGTTTATAATCATATCATTTACAATCAACTTCTGTACAGTGTGTGTGTATATATAAATTATTATTTCAACAAGGTGCCATTGATGTTTTTTTTGCTATTATTATTATTATTATTATTATTATTATTATTATTATTATTATTACTGACACAAAAGCACAGTATGTCACAGCAAACGAGATCTATATGCTGGATTTCGTATCACAAAATCACAAGTCGAACACTTCCCAACCATCTAGGACTGTGTGATGTATTATTATTATTATTATTATTATTATTATTATTTCCACAAGTTGCCCTTGATGGGTCTTTGCTATTACTATTGACTTCATTATTATTTCAGCAAGTTAATTCTTCTCCCATTGTTTCCCATCCAGGCTTACGAAGCTTTCCCCGACAAAATCCGTTCGCACCGCCCGCAAGGCCCAACGGAAGGAAACCTTGCGGACATCCGGCGTACGTCTTCTCCCCACACCCCACCCCCAAAAAAAATCTAAACTTGGAGCCTATTTTGAGCTAATTTTATTTATTTTTTTGGTTTCTTTTTATGCCTTGATTTAGTGAACCAGGCAAAGTTTGGTCCCCCGCTCCGGAAAGAAACCGAACCCTGGTGCAGTTTGGTAAGCCGCTGTTGTTGTTGTTGTTTATTTCAGTTGCATGTGCTTTCAAGCCCTTGGTTGACTATGAATTTCATGGGATTTCCTTAAGCAAGGCTTGACACTGTGAGAAAGATCTCACAGTGTCGGATATTAATTGGCGGTCTCCCGTCCAAGTACTAACCAAGGCCGACCCTGCTTAGCTTCCAAGATCAGACAAGATGGAGCAAGCACACTCCCCCGAGATAGGCAGTTTCCCTGATTCTATATGATGGAACCATTGTGAAAAGCACATGTCTGTGTTTTAGATGGATTAGATTAGAGCGGTGATGGCATGATCGTCAGCGTAGATGAAACTCTCTGTCCCTTCTGCCAGTGGCTGGCCATTTGTGTAAATGTTAAACATGAGGAACCGTATTAAGAGGCATTAGGAAGGTGGAGAAACACTGACCTAAAGTTTCAGAGAGCTTCAGTTCAGCCATTAGAAAGCTTCTGCTCAACCATTTCAAAGCTCCTTGCTTGAGCGGTGATGGCACGATCGTCAGCATAGATGGATTAAGAATCAGCTGGTTTCTTCTATAATAGGCAGTAAGAGCACCTAAAGTTTCGGAGAGCTTCTGTTCAACCATCTCAAAGCTCCCTGCCTGGGTGGTGATGGCATGATCGTCAGCATAGATGAAACTCTCTGTCCCTTCTGGCAATGGCTGATCATTTGTGTCAATGTTGAACGTGGATGGAGCAAGCTGGTTTTCCCTGTAAGAGGCAGTAAGGGCACCTAAATCTTCGGAGAGCTTCTGTTCACCCATTTCAAAGCTCCCTGCTTGAGTGGTGATGGCACGATCGTCAGCATAGATGAAACTCTCTGTCTTTTCTGGCAGTGGCTGGTCATTTGTGTAAATGTTAAACATGATGAACTGTATTAAGAGGCATTAGGAAGGTTGACCTAAAGCTTCCGAGAGCTTCTGTTAAACCATTTCCAAGCTCCCTGCTTGGGCAGTGATGGCATGATCATCAGCATAGATAGAACTCTCTGTCCCTTCTGCCAGTGGTTGGTCATTTGTGTAGATATTAAACATGAGGAACTGTATTAAGAGGAATTAGGAAGGTTGAGAACCACTGACCTAAAGCTTTGGAGAGCTTCTGTTCGCCCATTTCAAAGCTCCCTGCTTGAGCAGTGATGGCACGATCGTCAGCATAGATGAAACTCTCTGTCCCTTCTGGCAGCGGCTGGTCATTTGTGTAAATGTTAAACATGAGGAACTGTATTAAGAGGCATTAGGAAGATCGAGAAACACTGACCTAAAGTTTCAGAGAGCTTCAGTTCAGCCATTACAAAGCTCCCTGCTTGAGTGGTGATGGCACGATCGTCAGCATAGATGAAACTCTCTGTCCCCTCTGGCTGATCATTTGTGCAAATGTTAAACACAGATGGAGCAAGCACGCTCCCCTGAGACAGGCCGTTCTTCTGTTTCCTCCATCTGCTTCTCTGGCCCTGGAACTCAACAAAAAAGCTCCTGTTTCGTAGCAGGTTTCCTATGAAGAGGGTGAGGTGGTAATCCTTTGTGATATTAGACATTTCTAAATGGATTAGGAATCAGCTGGTTATCCCTGTAAGTGCACCTAAAGCTTCAGAGAGCTTCTGTTCGCCCATTTCCAAGCTCCCTGCTTGGGCGGTGATGGCATGATCGTCAGCATAGATAGAACTCTCTGTCCCTTCTGGCAGTGGCTGGTCATTTGTGTAGATGTTAAACATGAGGAACCGTATTAAGAGGCATTAGGAAGGTTGAGAACCACTGACCTAAAGCTTTGGAGAGCTTCTGTTCACCCATTTCAAAGCTCCCTGTTTGAGTGGTGATGGCACGATCGTCAGCATAGATGAAACTCTCTGTCCCTTCTGGCAGTGGCTGGTCATTTGTGTAAATGTTAAACACTGATGGAGCAAGCACGCTCCCCTGAGGCAGGCCATTTTTCTGTTTCCGCCATCTGCTTCTCTGGCCCTGGAACTCAACAAAAAAGCTCCTGTTTTGTAGCAGGTTTCCTATGAGGCGGGTGAGGTGGTGATCCTTTCTGATATTAGACATTTCTAAATGGATTAGGAATCAGCTGGTTTTCCCTGTAATAGGCAGTAAGTGCACGTAAAGCTTCAGAGAGCTTCTGTCCAACCATTTCAAAGCTCCCTACTTGAGTGGTGATGGCACGATCGTCAGCATAGATGGATTAGGAATCGGCTCGTTTCCCCTGTAATAGGCAGTATGAGCACCTAAAGCTTCGGAGAGCTGCTGTTCACCCATTTCAAAGCTCCCTGCCTGGGTG